TTGAACTTGACAACTAGACAAACTTAAAAAATATGAGAATTTTGAAATTTTAAAGCTGTTTCAAAATAACAAAGTAATTTGTTATTTATATTGAAAAAATTTGAATTCCTTAACATATTTGCCTAGTTCACAGTAAAAGAATTACTATGTGATTATACTCACATCTATGCTTTAAAGTAGAAAATTATTAGAAAAAGTAACAATTCATACTTCACAAACTAATCAATATGATTTGAATATGCTAATTAAGACAATCTTTAAACTATATATTTGTAATTTTTTATAATTTCATATAGGTACATTTTTTTATGGAATTCTTATATTTTTGTAGTCATGTAAAATTGTTTGGAATTTTTAATTTTACTGCGAGTAATTTATTAAAATATTACATAAGTTGCTGCCAGTACTGTCTTATTTGCTTCACATGTGTTTCTTTTGTTATTAACTGTATATAATCTAGAATATTTATTTGTGCATTCTAGATAGTTGTACAACATAGTTGTGTAACTACTTATCATATTTAAACTGTTGTTTCTTAAAATTAAGGTTTAAAACGTTTATGAAAGAGATGATAAATATAATAAATATACTATGCATTTACCAACATTGGACTATTTGTGTAGGTATTGATTTGATTGATGTTTAAAAAAATTTTTATTGTAACCTTGATCAGATGACCTAATTTTTTTACCTGGACCTAAAAAAGGAAATGTTAGAATCTTGTCTGTCAGTTAGTTATGCAGTAGGTATTTCTTCACATTTTTCTTTATTTCTCCATTTGTATGCAATTGTCATATAGGTAGATGTAAAAAAGGTGTAATGCATTGATTGATTTCACTTTGAACATTATACAAACATATTTTGTACCCTGAATTTATTGAAATATTTCATATTTGATAGCAAAAATGAAAGATGATTATTTTATTCTTTAGAAAAGGTTTTTATCAAAATTTACTCTAGTTATTTAACAGAATAATTTATTCTTTAGTAGTAATTTTATTCCTATTGTATTTTCCAATAATCCATTATAATATATAAAAAAAAGGTTTATTCAATAATAATATTTGATACAATTAATACATATTTTTCTTATTTATCTTATTATATTTTTAATTGCATTGGATTACAATACTTGTTACTCAATGTTAATGGAATGTTCAATAGTAAATTATAAAATTTTATTACTGGAAAAATATGGGAAATATTTTTTTATACCTATTTTGTAATTTTCCTAGTCAATTATATTATAATTTATTATAATATGATTAGATTACTTTGAGAATACTTATGACTTATACATTTTTATAAAATATATAATAACTAACTAATTCTAGGACAATCGAGAACCCAAACACCACCAACTAATAATTTATCACCGGTCTCATTGTTTAATCAATCAACTGCAAATTCCTCTCCTTCTAACACAAGTACTCTTCCATCACAGAAAGTAAGTTGTAGTGTGTAAAGAATGTGTAAACATAAAAATTGATTATTTTATTTTGATGTTTTTAGAAAAATGATGGCATAAGAAAAATTCAAAATGATATCAAATCAAGAGGACCACCTCCACAACCACCACCATTCAATCAAAAACCAACTATTCCTTCGGTAATTTTATTCAAACAATTATTCATATATTTTTTTTTACATTTTATTCAATTAAATACATTTTGGTTAATTTTTTTTCTTCTTTACAGAGTACTTCCGAGCCTGTTTCAATTATACCCCCCGGTGTGGGTCACAATCTAACAGGCAGTGTCCCTAGTCTTGTGTCTGATAATGTAGCTGGCAGAGGTCCTCCTCCAGGGGGATACGGTAAACCAAATGTTGCCCCAAAACCACCATCTATCAGGCCAGCCGTGCCTACAAAGAAATCAACGTTGACAGTTAGTTCTACTAATTTAGTAACAGCTGATGGGCGAAATCTTGTTTCCAGAGCACAAAGTATGAGGATACCAAAAACACCTCCAGTTGCTCCAAATAGTCAACGTATGTATTGACAATTGACATATAATATCTTAAATCAATCAAATGTGATGTTTATAATTTTAATATTATTTTGTACAGCACCTCAATTTAATAACATGACCATCAGTAGTAAAAATCAATTACCTGCTTTCCATCAATCACAAGATAGTATTTTGAGGAGTTCTCCAAATCCTCCCCCAAATGGCCAGTGGGGATCACGGACGTTACGACCCATTAAACATCCTAATACAAGGCCACCACCTCCACCCATAAAGGCGCCATTGAATCCACCTGTGTGTGCTCCACCACCACCACCACATCGGAGTGGGCCTCCTCCGCCACCACCAAATGTACCCCCTCATAAAAGCTACCATAATAACAATGTAAGTATGGACTTGCATTTATTTCAAATATAATAATCTATAATTATAAATTATTTATATTTGTTTAGGTAACTAATGGAGCTCCTCCAACACCTCCAACACGTCATTCTTCTATGCGAAATGGACCAACTTCTGTTTTAAGCATGTCTCTTTTGGGTAATATTACTAATGACTAATTATATATGAATTATTTTAAATGTGAAAATGTAATTTTGTAGAAGAAATGGAAATGAAGTTTTCTACCATGTTCAAGCCAATGGTTAGGATTCCATCGCCTCCAATTTTCCAAAGAGTTGATAAAATTTATAATAGCAGACTAGTTGGTAAGGATAAACTTACTCTACATTAAAAATATGTATCTAATATTAATGTTTGATTTCAGTTGCAAAACATCAAGCTCCTAAGCCACCAGGCTATTGAACAGTGTAATTTGTTTTGCTCAAGTGTGAAAGATATGTTGGACTTATATTCCAAATATTTTACTTTCTATATAGGTTTGTATGTTAAATAATTTTTTCCTCATGACGAAACTATATTTTTGCTTGTAAAAGTACAATATTATTTCTTTTAAACCAAAGGCATTATTGTGATAAAGATAATTTGAAAGTATCATTAATGGTGAAGAAAAAGAGAAAAGTATTTATTTTTTGTCTAATATTTTTGTTTTTACATGAATTATTCCAACAATAACTTTATACAATACTATTGTTATTGAAATTATATTTTTAGATATACATTTTTAGTTTAAATTATAACATTAAAAAAAAAACAATTTCCCCAAAAATTTGTGATAATATTTTTGCACTTGTTATTGTACTAAACGTGCTTTTATTTTTATACTTAAAACCATGGTTTTTTTTAATATTAATTAACCAAGTTTTTTAGTTTGTTTATGTGGTTTTTACTGCAATATCAATTAAAAAATTTTTCAAAATTAATTTGCCTATTTGGCGTTAAATTTAATACCATATTGGACAAAATTTAGTCAATTTCTTCTGTTTGTTGTTATGATTTAGCATTAAGTTTGCTAAATAGGGGGGTAATATATATATATATTATTTTACTGATAGATTATATTACATTATTATTTATTGCATATATTTTTTATTTTACTTAATCTCTCCTAGTCATAAATTTAGATTAATAATTGTGTGTAAACTTGCATTGTATATAATCATTAGGGAACGGGTTAATGAAAATTACACTGTGGAATGAAATTTAAAACATAAATATAATCAAAAATAACCAACATAAATTTCTTAAGAAATTTGTTTGGTCTTTGTATCATCACATAGACTACCATTTTGTTTTACTATTTTATTACTATTCCTTTCTACTACATCAACAATCATACAATCATTTTTATTCATAAATAATTTAGTTTATATATTTTTAAATGATTATTTGTAATTCATTTTATTGCGTTTTATAGTTTTACAGTAATATATTAGTATGATTGCATGTTCAAGTCTTATATACTTTGTTTAATTACTTTTAATTACATAGTACATTATGTTGTAATTGTATGTTAACTATTTAAAAATGTAATTTTAACATCTTATGATTTAAGTGTTAAACAATATCATACACCAAGAAAAGTTACTGTTATCAAGAATTATATTTGATGTATAAAGTATACACATAATAAAATGTATTGATTATTATTATACAAAAAACATGATTTGTTTTATAACTTTATTTTTCAGTTTGCATTTATAATATTAATTTTGTTGGGGTGTGTGTTTACTATTTTTATCTTTTATTCTGTTTATTTTTTCATTAATTCTCATTCCAACCTTTTTTTTTTTAGTATGTCTTAAAACCCAAAACGGAATATTTAACACTTCAACAAGAGTTATTTGTAGTTATTTAGTTTGTTGATTAATTACTTTCATAAATATCAAACTCGAGGTTGGTTATTATTGAATGTTTTTTTTTCTTATGTTTAGAACATTTAATGAAATTTAATTACTTTTTAAAATATAGTAAGTAGTTACAATCTTTTGTTAGTAAATTTGACTGACCTGATCTTACATTATTTTACAAGATTTTGATAGGATTAAATCCTCATTTTCAATCTGATTCTTAACAGCAAGTAAAAAATATTCTATACTTCGAAAGGTTAGCGAATACTTCTTTTATCAAATACAATTTTTTTTATATTAGGATAACTCTTATTTAAACTAATGACATTATCAGTATTCTACATGTAATATTATTAACAAATAATGATTCTCATTTAAAAACTTATTACAGTTGTAAATATTTCTCAGGGTTTTAGCATTTTGACGAACTACGGAGTTTTTAAAAATTCTTGGAGAACAGAATATAGTATATATGTATTCAAGATTAAATATAGTACAACCTATTTTGTTTTTTATGCGATTTATCGACCAATTATTTTTTTCTATTTAACAACTAATTTAAAATAATTTTAATGGATATTTAATTTCTAATCTCCTTAAACTATTTATTAATATTTTAGTTTCATACAAACATTTAATTGTAACGTAAAATTGTATAGGCCAAAGACATAACTAAAATTGATTAGTCATGAATAGTTATGATTGTCTATAAATGTTTTGAAGAGGTCATCAGTGGTTAAAAAACTTATCAAATGGTTGTTTACCATTTCAATTAAATTTAATATTTACTGAATCATTTATGATGTCATTATGTGTTACCGTTGATAGCACTTAGTCATCGTTGATTTTAATGTCTGTACAAACTGTTATTATTTTACTATATTATGAAGAGTAACAAATAAAATATAAATATAGAGTTTTATGTATAATATACAAAAATAATAACAAATTATAATAACAAATTATGTATCCAGTTATTTTAAATAAGTACAATTAATGAACAATGAATTAATAAAACTGAGATTGAGAAAACAAACCATGTTCTTGTGGACAGCATCAATTAAGGTTTTTGCGAAACTGAAAAATAATATTTAAACAATTAAAACAGATCTATAATATTTCATAACTCATGACGTGTAAAAGTTACCTTTATATGCATACTCTAAGGTAGTAGTGATGTTTTGCATGTCATTTTCAATGGTGCGTGTCCAATTCTCAACATCACCCAACTCTTTAAGTGCACTATTAAAGTTGTCAATCAGTGACAGCCATTGAGAAGTTTGTTTGGAAAAGACAATGGCACTTTGGTGTAATTGTTTTGCTTCAGCATCAAGTTTTTTTTGATTGAGATACGCTTGGGCAACACTAATGGTAATTATAAAATCGATTACACATAAATAATTAATTATTTTTTGTTAATAATCTCATCAGTATCTAGGTAATTTGATAAACCTTTTAAATTAAACAAACACATTTTTCATACCCAACGTTAAGATGTTCAACCAGTGCGTTGGTTAATTCATTGGCTGCGTTTACTGCCTCTTTTCTTTTAATATCTATTCATTAAACATTAATTATGTGCTATGGGTATGACATTAAATATAATTCAGAATCGCAAATGAATAAGGTAAGGGGTAGTTATGAGAAAAAATAGCTACCTTGGTTTTCCTTGCGGGCAGCTTGTTTTACTTGATGTTCTTTGACAAGTGAAGATAGCATTTTAATTAACAATATTTCAATTATTAGTCGATTAATCTGTGTAGTGCATGAAGTAATGAGTTATAAAAATATAAAAGTAGGCACCCTAGAAAAGTTTGAAGAATGTAAATATATACTAATTTACAAGGTACTGGAATAGTAAATTGACAATAGATATTATCATTTGTTATCAGTTATCACTAAATCATCATAACAACGTACCGTGATAAAATGATAATAATATTGTATTTATTTGTTGATCAATTTAAATTTGTTGTAACTTAAAAAAGTATGCAAGTGTTAACGTGCACGAACTGTGCGAGCACTAAAATTTAATTGTTGTTAATTTATTGCGCGATTAATATTATATTTATTTGTATTCTTAAAATTATCTTTATAAATATACTTTTTACCGTTGAAACTTGAGGTAAACTAAAGGTTTCATCTAGAATCTATGATCAAACATGAGTTCATACAAATCACCACTAATAAGGTCTAGAAATACATCTGCCACTACAGACAGCACATTGCCTTTTCCGAATGTAGAATCGCCGTCGAACTCAATTAACAAAACATTGAAGGATAGCATTTTGTTGTATGACAACACTCCTCAACAATCACCTACTGAACAGAATTGGCGAGGACGTGGTTGTAGTTCACCGAGATTCAATAGTCCACGATCTAGAGGGAGAGGATCACCGTACCAATGGACTCCCAACAGATTTAACAACAGCAGCAGTTCAGATGTAACTAATTGTATTAAAATAAATAATACATTCAATGTATTGTAATATTGCTCTAATTCTTGATTTTTTTTCAAAGCATAACAATTCATCTAGTTATACACCACGTGAACAAAATAGTTATACCTCATACAGACCACAATTTAACAAATATAAAAATCAAAATCCTAATGTAAGTTTTAATTTTTATTTAATTCTATTATAGTAGTGCATATTGTACACATTTGATGTAACAATAAGTTCTATGAAAATAATGTATGTATGTTCATTACTCATTAGTATGGATTGATAAAGTACTGCTTATTTGTTTTAGAGTCGTCGAAATTTGAATGATAATAGTGATGAAAGCTACTTTCATCCATCAATGTTGGAAGATCCGTGGGCATCATTGTTAAAAAATACAGAAAACGATGTCTCAATATGAATAAATAATGAGCTGTATTACCAGTGATTGTGTATATTTGTATTCATAATTTTTAAGTGTTTGCTAGTGTTAAAAAAAAAAATTAAATATTATTGAACATGACGCTTTGCATACTCGAGATTAATTTATTGCCTTTGAATCTTAATCTTATCACACTTAATATTTATAAACAATTAAGTTTATAAATGACAAAAACACTATTCCTTTTAAATTATTCAGAAGGTTTTTCCTAACACCTTCCAACTACTTTTTAGAAAAAATATAAATTTGAATTACTTCTTTTACACCATAAGTATAAAATAAAAATAAATTAACTGCATTTATTTTGACTTTAACCTTTAAATATAATTTATACTTCAATCTAAGTTGGTCATAATAAAATTTGGGTATCCCTAGCTCACACACATTTATTAAAACTTCAACTTATTTGCACATATTTTCATAACTCGTTAGAACATTTTATAGATTGTATGTGTATGTATATATTTCTATTATTAAAATGCCTATGGAAAGCTTCAGCTCCATTTGATGTGCTTCTGGTTGCTTAGGTCTTTCAGCACACATGGTATAGTTTGACATTTTAATAGGTTAAAATGTACGGTGTAAAAACATAATTAGAGAAGTATTCAAGTATAATCCATAAGGACGCGGAGCAATAGCTACTATATTATGTCTGAAAGGAGAATAATCAGTCGACCGTACAATTTATGCCAGTGCTGAGCATATCCCACCAACAACCCAGTGATCAGGTGGTTCTTAATATATTATTTCTATATGTTCTGGTGGTAAACTGAATAAATATTGAACTAATTTACCTCCCTAAGAATTAATATTTTTATACTAACTTCATCAGTGGCTGTGCGACTATTTTATGAAGCGATAATAATGGTAATCATTTATAATTTATGTACTTTCATTAATTGGGTTTGGTGGTGGCCATCCACATTAGCACGAACAATTTGTAAATAAGCAATTATTTTAAATAGTCGCTTTATAGAGAAAAAAATTCACTCTGCCTTATCTGTTATAATAAATTATTACTTTGAAATCAAGATTGGTTAAATTAAATGTTAAACATACAATTTATAGAACAATTAAAAATTAAGTTACGAGTATATTTTGCTAAGTCAGCATAAATATTTTTTATAAATTTACATAATTAATTAATAATTAATAATTTGCGATCGAGAATGTGATTTGGCACAGGTAGTAATTGAGCTCATAGTTTCTATCAAGAACTAAGTACATCAATTTTGGAGTGTTTCCCACACGTTGTGTACGTTAAAGTATGTTTAACTTCAAAAAAACAAAATACTATATGAACATAAAAATAATTTTTGTAAATGTGAATGGAATGAATTAAATGTTACAAAAACTAGTTGTAGCCTAAAATTCAACAGATGAAACGTTACTTATTATTTAATTGCATGCCTGGTTCATATTTGGTATTAATTATAATTTAAATTATTGTCATGAAACATAGAAAAACATGAAATGTAATATTATAACTTAGTATGATAAAAGTGAATAAAAATTACTTAATCTAATAGAGCTTAACTGTGATAATATAACTCATTTTACCTCTGCAGGTAATTTTTGTCTTACCATAGACATTTATGTTACATCAAATTTTTTTTTAAAATAAAGAATAAAAACAATTTAAAACCAAATTAATAACTCTTCATTATATTATGAATTTACATAGTTCAGTAAAACAATTTTAAGTTACTAAAGTTAGTCATTTTATACGTTTGAGTTTCAAATGAAAATATATTAATACTATTATATAAAATAAATAAAATAAACGTATGCTTAAAGTTTGTATTTTAAATTATTAGAAAAATAATCGCCATTTATATGATTACATAATACTTACTACTACTACATAATAACTTTTGCAATATGATAGCATTTGGGACGATTTTAAATTTTAATGTATATTTTTATGATTGAACAAGTCATACTTCTATTAAAAAATATTATAAACAAGTATTGAAGAATATTAGGATGAGCAATTATGTTTTTCCATTTAGTCACGCAGAAAAACAAAACAAAGATATGCTATCCTATGTTTAGTATTATTATTGATTAACATAATTATCATTCATGAAAATTGAGTTAGCTTAAATATAAGACACATAATGTATGAATTTCTTTTTCATTGAAACAATTTAGCGTCAAATTAAATAAATAATCTATAAATGGATTGTACCATTCACCAGTTTTCTTCTTTACGTTTATTGTACTCTTCAAGTTCTTTAAGAAATACTGATTTAGGCTTCATGGTTTTGGAATTAGTTCCTCTGCAAAATGGGCAAAACCATTTTCCTTTGGGTTTTCTACTTATAGATACGCAGCCAAAATGAAACCACTCAATTGGACATAAATCATTATCGCAGCAAACCATATCACCGTAAGATATTTCTTCACAAATACAGTAAGTTGGTTTTAAATCATTATCACTTTCATTGTCGGAACTTTCGGATTCTGAAACTACTTTTTTATTTTTGGGAGGCTGTGCCTTAGACTTTTTGTTTAATGCGGTGTTCTTTTTATTTTGATTAGTGCTTGGTTTTTTATCAAGATTCGCATTCACTTCTAAGCTTTTGTTTAATGTTGTAGATATTTTTGTTACATTTCTTTTAGGGCGCTTATTAGAATTATCTATACTTAGTACATCAATAGAATTTGAATCAATTTTCTTACATTCAGGCATACTTTTTGACATTCTTTTATTTGATTTAATTAAACTTAATTTTGCAGCTTCCACTTCTTTATAATTTGTTTCTAAATTACTCATGTTTTTTTCAACCATGTCCATTAGACATTCAGCAATGTTAACTTTTTTGTCAGCCAGGTCTAAGGACTCAATCAGCATTTTCTTCATACGTTGTTCATCAGTAGATGTAAATTCTTTAGTGTTTTTAGTAAACTTCACCAATTTATTTAAAATATGTGAGTGACGACAATCAGTTTCATAATAACGACTTACTTGTTTTTGTCCATCTTGAGGAAAATGTTTCAAGACATCATCACACTTGTCTAAGAAGCGATCAACAGTACTATTTAATATGTTGTTCATAATGTTTATCTTATACCTGAAAAATATTTATACAAAAAAGTAAAAACCATTAGTTCAACATATTATCAACAGTTTTCAGAAATATACTTTGTTTCATAACATTGTATGTAAACAGTGTGATTAAACAAGCATCCTCACCCTTTTTTTCATACTCGGGGGAATGTTCAGAGGAGATAAAAACTAGTGTTTTTCAAATGAGAGCCCCATTTTTTCATTGTAATTATTTAGAGAATAAGTTTCCTGAAAATGATGGCAAATCAATATTTGAAGTTTTTTTTTTTGAGTTTTCTAACTTTGTGTACTAAGGATAATAATTCCATAATAATGGGTTTGGAAGACATAAGGAACAAGGGCTAAGGTGATTTGAACATTATAGTAATTATTAATTACCTATTATAGTATTATTTATCTATTAACATTTATAATTTGTAAAAATCGTCAAATCATAGTATAGTAAATAAATATCAGACCCAATAAATTATAAATTATACATATTATATTTTATACTTTTGTAAAACCATTTGTATGTACTATTAATCTTAAAATTAACATTTTAGCAACTGTTTTTATACTCGTTTGAGTTTTTGACCTAGGTACATAGATCAAATTTAAAAAAAATTATCTGTTAGAGTTTAGTCCCAAGAATTTGAAAATATGGTCTATAAGAATATTTTAGAATTCCAAAAATCAGGATTTGAATAAATTCATTATTAAATGAAAAAATGGGGGTGAGGAGTATACTTGGCAAATCACCCTGTAGGTATATATTACAATACATGTGTCCCGAGAGTTTTGTATCACCATAAGTAACATCCGATTTAAATTTTGGTTTTTAAACAGTTATCGACGACAAAATTCCAATTTAATGGCATAAATGTCTGTACTTTTCAACGGCATTACCTACATTGATATGCAATGGAAATAATTTGGGTGATATGGGATTGATTATTGGGCCATACCTTCTGTAAATGGGTACTTACGGGTACCTATAATAAATTAAACATTTAGGTTGCTAAAAAAAATATTATATGGTATTTTAGGCATTTATAATTTAATTAAAAATATGTTAATAGAAAGTTTATAAGTTTATTGCACCTACACTTATTGATAAAGGGAAAACTATATTTTTTTGGAGCAACAAAATTACACCTGCATAGGGTAATATATTAATATCTATACAGTTAAAATTGTGTAGAAAAATGACTTAAATGTCTTTATACAGTATGTTGATTGGATATTCAGTCAACATAGTTAATGATGTAGAACAAATATTTTAATGCTGTTTTTTCTTCGTTTTTTTTTAATGAAAATATATATATATGTTAGTAGAAGTGTACAACTAATGTCCTTTCCCTTTACCATATGGGATTTATGCACATGCATAAGGATGCAGTCCCCTAATTTTTAGGGTCCCCTAATAACCCTGAATTGTTTTCATGTGTAGGTCTTTATGCAGGGAGTGACTTGATACATATGGTGGAGAATTGGTAATTTCTCTTAGTATTTAATTTTGGAACCGTTGAATTTTATTTAGATCGGAAATTTTAGCGTTACCCATAACTGTAAGCCGTATGTCCAAATTGGCTTTAGGAAATATTTGTAAAAGAGCAGTTTAATATTTGAGTGTTTGTTGTTGATGATTAGGGTTTGGAGCATTTGTAAGCAGGAGTTTAGTTGTGATGTGGTAAGCACAGGTAAGACGGCGATCAAGAGTAAGCCTGAGATATTTAACGTTTGGGGATGAGAGGATCTGAGCACTAAAATACAACACCTCTGGACGTGGTGTTAATTTAAGTGTAAATGTAGTATGTACTGGTTTGGCTTGATTTATTTTAAAACGCCACTTTTCATACCAATCTTCAATTAATGAAACATGGCTTTGAAGGTTTGTGGAGGCCATAATAGGATCTGGGCTGGATGATATATTAAGTCATATTAATTGTCCGCATAATCTGCTACTTATATGTTGGGCGTGGTTGGTTGGTTGGTCAGATGTATAAATATTGTATAGGATTGGGGTGAGGATACCACCTTGGGAACTCCTGCCACAATACCTGCTATATTAGAGTGTGAAGAACCATAATGGACCTGGAAATATCGGTCTGTGAGATATGATTTAAGTATAATGTAGTGTGTTGGGTAAATTGTTTTAATTTGTGAAGCAGACTTTCATGCCACACTCAAAGGCCTGGGATACGTCAAGGAATGTGCAGGAGCAGTAACGTTTTTTTTCGAGGGCAAAAGAGACAGCGTCAACAACCTTATGGACTTGGTGAATAGTCGAGTGTTTAGTACGAAAACCAAATTGATAGTCAGGTCGGATATCAAACATGACAGGTAGGTCAGCCACCTCAAATATTTATTTTGTTAAATTATTAGTGAAAAGTGGACTCAAAAGTATAAGTGTATGGGTTTCTAATTCATTAAATCAGGCCCTGGATTTACTAAAAAAAAAAAATTAAACTAAGAATTAAATAGTAAGAAAGTACTAATGAAATTACTCATTTGAATCCCTTCATAAAAAATTTGGCCTCCACTACCATACCCCGTAATCCCCCTAGACACCTAGAAACGCTATTGGTGTAGTAATTTGATATATATAAAAAAAAAAGTAAATAATAATTTTAATACAATCTGCACTTACCTTAATATGATAGAAATCGATGGTTATTCTGTTACTTCAAAGCGTGGGTATTGAAAAACGGATTACATTAACTAAACAGAATTTAAATACCTGTAAACAAAACACAATATTACCTTAAGGAATATAAATATTTCAAAATATTGGTAATAATTATTCATTAGGCGTTTTATACTTTTATATTATGAAACAATTATTAACCATCCACTTCATTAATCAACGATTAGGTAATTATGGACCAAAAAATATAACAGATTTAAAATAGTTTATAATACAGTATATTATATTAGAAATACTAGATTAAACGAAGTTACGTAGATACAATTAATTATTAATGATATTAAGATTAATAAGAAAAAAAAAGTAAAAACCGAACGATTCATAACTTCAAAAGTTGACGAATCGAAAAAACCAAAGTCGATATGATTAAGATTTTAGGTTATAATCACGGTTATTATTTAATACATTGTTATTATTGAGCTATTGCCTATGTTTTGTAAATTTTAAAATAATATAAAAATAAATCAACTGGGTTTCGGTTCATTGAGTACAGTGTAACCATGGACAAGATCTTACTAGATATCTTAGTCCATGAGTGCAACCAACAATGTACAATAGTACACTCTATGTATGTACAAACTATTGTTCTATTATAGTATCATGGTATAATACAACATATTATTAACAATTTACTTTCTTGATTTGTAATCAACTATCAAGTAAAAGGCGCCTTACCAACTCGATAAAGTAACGTACTCGTTATGGCGTTACGGGTTACACCTTACACAACGCGGCATACACATTATAGCTCATCGTGAAATGTGATAGGTCATAATTTATGTTAAACACACTAAACACGGTCCGAGTATAGGATTGCACTCAAGACTCAACTATAAGTAAATTCTATTTAAGACAATACGGAACAGCAATCTGCTATGGTCAAAACTGGCGTCCAGTTCTTATCAGTTCCCCCCGAGATTGTAGTTGTGGTTGCCGTAATTTACCCCAAAAAAATGTTTATAGTACTATACTATATAGTTATTACTGCTTTAGCTTCAATAATTCATCTTTTTTTTTCTCTTGTTTGATCTTGGAACTGGGGACAAAACTACTTTGGCATTGCTTTGACCTAACAATATTTCATCTAAAAGTATAAGTCTTGTTTCTATAATTTATTCTAAGTATCGTTATCTTTTTTTAATAAAACATTATAAAATAAATAAGAAAAGTATAAGTGTATAACTAGATTTTATTCAATATTTGTTCTGATAATTACTGATAAGATAAATTTAACTTAAACATAATATTAGGTAGACATATTAAATATGCTTAGTTTTTTTAAACTTTTTATTATTTAAATATTTATAGGGTGCAGCGGAGTCATTGCACTTTTTTATAAAACTATTTATTTTGACATTTAAATACTTCTCAACAAATGTATCTTTACAGTTTTCACAAAAATGTTATATACATCTTTCACAAATATTTTTGATAACTATTTTTATATCTCTTTTAACATTTTCTTTTTTTTCGTATAATGCAATTATATACTTTGTAAATGTAAGCAATTTTGTATAAGGGTACAATAAATTACAACCATCATATTCCTTCATGTTGATTAAGCCGATTAAGGTATTATCAATGTTGAATTAAATCCTCAGATTTGTTACTGGAGTACTGGACGCTAATTTTTCATTACACGCCTTATGAGTTAATTGAGAACAAACCCATCCTGTTACGTATGCTACACTATTTTCTGTCTCGTTATCCATAAGAATGTAGTTAATATTCATATTACTAAGAAAATCGTCAAAATTGTTTGGAAAATAAAAATCAGTCAGCCAACCAACCTATGCAATTGTACTGTATTCTTTAATCGTAGGCTTTTGAATAATGCTAAAAACTTTGATGCATTTTTTTCACAATTTGAATTATTAGATGGATTAATTAACATGATGCACATAGACATGCGAATTGCAGAAAAAATGTTTGATGCATCTGGAGTTACGTTATTTCCTCCTTTTGATCTTAAAATTAAAAATTAACATTCAATGCAATCTTGGGTTAATAAATAGTCAACTTCATATTCTATGTTTAATTCATTTTATAAGAGTTTAATACAATTAAAGGCCGGTTTACACTTATCAAAGTAGCCACGTCCGTGAACCACGAATTAGTGACACGGATTCTACTTTGATAATATAAACACACCACACGTACGTGTGACAAACTCGTACGAGTCGTGTTGTCTGTGCCGGGCCGGCATGGACATGTATCAAAATTCTCGTACGTGGGGAGAACATTTTATTATTTTAAATTTTACTTGGACAGACAAAATTTGACAGTGTAAACCTGTCGTCAGTGCTCGAATCAAAGTTACACTGATCCGTGGTTCATGGACGTGGCTACTTTGATGAGTTTTTGATAAGTGTAAACCGGCCTCAATATTTCTTGCCAACCGAGCACGCAAGAGGGGATATTTTTTCGCTTATTATTAACTTTAAGCGTTGAAAGAAATATTCGAGCTTCTTTTAAAAATGGCCAATATTTTAAATTTCTTGTTATTGGTATTTTAAATACAACTGATTCTCTCATTTTAATACTATTAAAATTTAAGGTAGTCAAAGAAGTCGTTAAACAAATTAACAAATCGTGCAGTAAATTGTGTTTATTGTTGTTTAAATGTAACTAATGTTAAAATCCCTGCACTAACTGAGTTACTAAACGTCTGTGCAGCTAAACAAACTTCTCATGGGTGAGAACAGTAGAAGCAAGAAGCTTTATATGAATTGTTTTTAATTTACTTGCTAATCGTGGTTTAATTTTGTTATCTATATTGTAAAAGTCTTCAATATCTTTCCAACAATAACTTTCATGTCCATTTGTAAAAGTATAATTTTTAAAATTATTCCGAACAGACTTTAGTAAGTGTGGAGGATCGTGTATAAAAATATATTTTCATTATTATAAGTGATTGCAAGGTTTTTCCATGGTCACTCCAAACAATGATCGCATTTTCATTTTATTTGATCCTTGGTCACAAATTATAACCTTTGGAACCAAACCACATTCTATTAGTTTTTGAATAGTATGTATCATAATTTGTTATATATTATATTGTTATAGGTACTAATATGAATGCATTATATACGAATGTACGATGATGTATGTAAATAATATTAAAATATATGTTAAAAAATGGCGGGAATTATCATCATATTATTATTATTAATTATTATATTATTGCCAGATTTTACACACGAATTAAAATATTATACTGGATACTCAACGCATAGAGTTGTGATCAGTAATTACTCTATGATTTATGAGTGTTATGACCATAGACATAATAATTATATTTTTATGTCTATGGTTATGACCATAGATAATATATACAAATATATTGTATATATTATCTGTGATGCTCACCCGCCATAAGACCAATGTAAACATAACCGAGATACCCTGTTAGAAAAAGACAGCAGATAAGAATGGTGTTGCTATACTTTTTTATCACACTTATCAATATGATTGCTTACCAATAAATAATAATAATATTTAACAATATTATTTAACGAAGGGGGCTCCAGCGTATCATGTTTTAAGGAGTAATATTTAGGCAATTTGTATGACATGAACATTTTGGCTTTGTCTATGTGTGAGTAGTAAATTAACATTAGTGTGTGTCACAGATATATAGAATAAATAATAAATAATAATTCTATATATCTGTGGTGTGTGTAATCCGTTATCGTTTTTATCATACTGCCACCCGCCATTATCCAAAATACGAATTTCTGGAACTACGATAATAACACGGTATAGAAGATAACAAGTAGGGAAAGCTTATACGAATTACGTTGTTCGCTTGATGCATACTTTTTTATCTTATCATATTTGCTGGCAGACCATATCTGTTATCGTTGTATCAATTACCGATTTTACTATTTTAGCTATGATTTTTTCATAATTTATATGAAATTTAATAGGTACAATTTATAATTTCAAATCAAATTGCATTTTAAATGAATGTTAAATTAATAATAATTAAGCTTAAATAAGATTGATTAAGCAATTTGCCAATATAGGAGTGACAGTGAATGAGGTGACCACAAACAATTCAATAGTTTTACAATTAGTATGTTTATTCAAGTTTCTTTAATTATTTAAGTTTAATAAATAATAAAAAAAAAAAAAA